CTCTCTCTCTCTCTCTCTCTCTCAGGTGTGGATGAGTACCCAGCAATGGACAGCGAGAGATCTTGTCAATATGTTAGTGTTTTAGCGCCTTTAAAATGGGCAGCTTGCACTGCATGTTTCCCATGAAGCTGAGATTGTTTCAGAATGCTATCGGTCTGCTGCGGTATCTTAATAGTTTAGATTGTAAAGCGCTTGGGGCTTGCTGTTGAGCGAGAATTGACGCTATATAAATGTTATCTATACATGTATTATTATTTTTACAAGTGACACTCCCCCATTGGCTTCTATCAGGTTGTTCTGGCGGGGTGCAGCCCGTACCTCCGTGCCATGTTCACTAACGGCATGCTGGAGTCAGAGCAAGAGTTTGTGGAGCTTCACGGCATCGAGGCGGCCACTATGAGCCTGCTGCTAGACTTCATGTACACGTGTTGTATCGAAGTCACCGTGGACAACGTGCAAGCTGTGCTGCAGGGGGCCAGCATGCTGGGGCTACACGCGCTACGCACCATGTGTGCTCACTTCCTGCAGAACCAGCTCACAGCCTCCAACTGTCTAGGTGGGTTCAATGGTTTATGTAAAGTCTACTGTCTAGTCGAAGCAGACTTTGTGCTGTTGAAGCTAGAGAGGTGAGCAGAGTAAGCCTGATTCCCTGTAAGGACTTCTCTGTTGACATCCACCTCTTGACGCCCATATGATCTTACGTAGTTGCGAACACCGTTAAACCTGACCAAAACTAACTATTGTGTAATTATTGTTACGGCAGCACATAGGTTATTGTTATTCATTAGCTCGTTATGCGCATACGGGCATTGTCATCTTGTTAGTTATAGTATTATCACGACTACTGACGTGTATTTGACGTGTTGTTGTTATGTTTGGAAGAAGTGTATTGTAACAGGATATGGCATTATGTTTTTTATTTTCTTTCAAGTAATAAAATAATAAAAATTATTACCTACATGCTGAAGTTTTCTAAGACACATGTTTTCATCGTTCCCCCCCCCCAGGGATCCACTACTTCGCCGACGTCTATTCCTGCACTGAGCTGGAGGCCACGGCGCGGCAGTTCATCTACCAGAACTTCCTGGATGTCATCAGGATGGAGGAGTTCTTCGAGTTACCGGAGGATCGCTTGATCAGCTTGCTCAAAAGTGACAAACTACAGGTACGTTAGTTCCCCTTTATTTCCGTGTATAATACATGAAGCAAAGAGGGAGAGAGAGAAAGAGAGAGAGACAGAGAGAGAAAGAGGATTACTATAGGAGCTGTGCGCTGCATATGTTCTTCGTATTATTATACAGTGCATTGAGCCCTTCTTTGTGGAAATGCGCTATATACATGCAATTTATTATTTATTATTATTATTAATATTCAAAATTTGAACTTAAAAATCTTTAATTTGTCCGACAGTTTGCAGAATCAGAAAGTAGGTCACAGACAGGACCAGTTCATGGTGAGGAAAACCCCCTGGTTGTGAAAGAGTTACCAAAGTCCAGCCAGTGTCGTCCCTCCCTGCTGTATTGACTTCTTTTGTATGTTTGTCACTCTCTTGTGACCTGCTATTTCCGGGGTGCTTTGATAGTCGAAGCAGACTTTGTGCTGTTGAAGCTAGAGAGGTGAGCAGAGTAAGTCTGATTCCCTGTAAAGACTTCTCTGTTGACATCTACCCCTTGGCGCTCATATGACCTTATGCAGTTGCGAGCGCCGCAAAACCCTCTACTAAAAGTTTTTACAAAATGTTAACTTTTCTTCCTTCTCCCTCCAGGTGATGTCGGAGAACCAGGTGTTTGAGGCGGCGTGCTCGTGGCTCCAGTACGACCCGGGCAAGCGTCTGGACCGCGCGTGCGTCGTGCTACAGAACGTGCGTCTGGTGCTGCTGGAGCGGGCCTTCCTGGAGAACGTGGTGCTCAAGTCGGAGTACTTCCGCACCTGCCCCAAGTGCCAGCTGCTCATCAGCAAGGCCATGCGCATCAAGCAGGAGGAGGCGGTGGCGGGCAGCGGGGGGCTGGAGGGTGTCGTCGGGGTCATGCCCAGAGCCCAGCCCCCGTGCATCTACGTGATGGGCGGCCGCAACAGCACGGACAGCCAGCTCAAGAGCACGGAGAGATACGATTTCCTGTTGGACCAGTGGATTCACATGGTGAGTGGGTACCTCGCTTTTCTAGCTGGCTAACTTTTTCCCCGGGACTCGCGGATTTGGCAGTTGAGAATTTGAGAGCCTTGCCACACATGTACTACTCCAACAACCAGTCCCCCCCCCCCGGGCAGTACTCCTGACTAAAGTGTCTTCAGGCCATTCCCAAAGGGGTGATATTAACATGTTCTTATGTAAAGTAGAATTGTGATTTATCAATGTCGTGCTCATACTGTGCTGGAACAACACAGGGGGAACTGCTGCTTTTTCTTTCCTAATCCTTACCATCGTCATTTTTCCTCTACTTCTTTTGTATGTTTGTCACTTTCTTGTGACCCGCTATTTCAGGGGTGCCTTGATAGTCGAAGCAGACTTTGTGCTGTTGAGGCTAGAGATGTGAGCAGAATAAGCCTGATTCCCCGTTTGGACTTCTCTTTTGACACCCACCCCTTGGTGCTCATATGACCTTATGCAGTTGCGAGCTCCGTAAAAACTTACTAATGTGGGTGGTTGGCGGGTGCTCTGGTGTGGTTTGCTCCTTCTTTCCAATCAAACATCTATCATCCTGATCTCTCCTCCTTTTATTGTGTTTGTTACTCTCTTGTAACACCTTTAATCTTCGACACTTGTTTGACCTTATTGTGTTGCAATTGCCGTAAAACTCTTACTACAACTAAGGACTTCTCTCGTCACAGCCCCCCATGAATATAGCGCGGACCGCTGTGGGTTCTGCCAGTTTGGACGGCGTGCTGTACGCGGTGGGTGGGGAGTGTGCTCTGGCCGACACACAAGATGACACACTGTATCTGCACTGTGTGGAGATGTACGACCCTGTGAGGAAGAAATGGGAGAGCAAACAGAACATGAAACTGGCGAGGTCATTCGTCGCAGTGGCTGCTGTAGGAGGGTACCTGTATGCTATAGGTCAGTTTTTTTAAATTTTGCTTTTGAATTTTTTTTGCAATTTTTTTTTTTCATGCCAAAAATATTTTTTAAAGATCAAATTCCATATCCCCGACTTTGAGAATAATTTTGGACACTTTCTAAGTGTAGTATCAAAAATCAAAATAGCCAGCTGCAAGCACCTATTTTTTTAATGACATTTTGCGAGTTAAAAGTTACAGAATTTTAAAAAGTTAAATTCTGTAGAAATGGTGGAGAAAAAAAAATTCTATCCAATTTTCAAGATGGCTACCGTTTCCATGGCAACGGCATATGTAATTGAGTGTGTCAACAGTTGAACATAAATCGTTTGTCTCGTCGCACTTACAGCCTGATACAAAAGCTGTTTCAGTTTGTCTGTAGTTGAAAATGTCCCGGAAGTATCGAGCTCCCCTAACACTTTGTCGTCACATCTCGCAAATCGGTGATGTTTACCCCCCCCCAGTTTCTTTGGATTTTCCCGAAAATGCCTTTACCTTTGATGGCAACGTTTTTTTTACTCTATGAGTCTTGTGATAACAAAGCGTTAAACTATCCATTCCATAATATTAATCCTTCCAGCCCCAAGCGCGTATATTATCAGCAGCGCTTGTACCTCCCTCCGTCCAAAGAGCGTATATTCTCAGTTTCGGGGGGTACCGAATTCGTGCTTTTTTTTTTAAATTAGCGAACTTGATTAAACTATAATTTTCTTATTACTTGTTCATTTATCTTTAAAAATTGGTATATTATGTTATTATCAAAGCTACATTACAAAGATACTACATCACTTTTTAGAATGCATGCCTCTTTTTCTGAAATACTGCTGTATTGGCAGGGACTGGGGTTAGGGAGTGCACAAAAATGGCTGTGGCTGGAAGGGTTAATATGCTGAAACACAAGTCTGAATTTTGACTGACACATTAGAAACATAACGGAACAGCCCCTGACTGCCTGGTTGCTGAGTAATGAGACCAAGTGAATTTTTGGCTTCGCCTGTAAAATATGCTGGGGTTAGCTGGTCTTATCACAACTTGATGTGTTGCACATTTCTGCCGTAAGCTAACAAAGTGCCTTTATTTCATTTTTGGTGCCAATTTTTTATTTGCTAAATCAAAAGTTCATTCACCCTACTTGTGTGAAAAACAAAACAAAGTGAAAGTGTGACTTGATTTTGAATAAATTAGAATTCAAATTTCGAAAGAACGTCTTTCTTAAATGATGAAAATCCTCTTTATTCCGTAACTGCTGTTAATAAAGACAGGAGTTTTATCGGCTTACGGCACACGGCTGTTCCCGAGCGGAGCACTTAGTTACCTGAGGAATTGACCCGGTCAGCCATGCCGCGCTCGGGTGGTCAGGGAGGTCACTTTGACCTTTGCTCTACGAGTGAACTATTGTGACTTAACAATTTTTATACAGTTTAATATCGTCATTGTGGATTTGCCCACAGACAAATCAAAGTCAAAATACTATCAACAGATAAAGGCATTCTTGAGCTTTACAGCAACTAATTTTTTATTGATATTCATAGCTGGGCCCCCTTTAAAACATGGCGCAATTGAGGGCAACTTTCAGGGAAATTTTTACGTGGGTCTACTTTTTAAAATTACGATATTTTAAAATGTGAACCTCAGATCTATAAAACAATCAGTGGTATACAACAGTGACATGATAAGCTTTCAGAAACACTTACTTTTGGTTCGATTGGTTCAGAAACGTGGAAATTGTAGAAGATTTACTACTGTCCAGCTCATGAAACGAGAGATTTTCCGTTGTCTCCTCACAGTTCAAGCAGAAATAGTTAACTTGTATAGAAGTTTCACTGCTATCCAATTCATGAAACAGGAGTTATTTCCTCATTGTCTTCTCACAACTAGAGCTGCTTTCACTTTCACAAACACAAATATATGAATACTCATAACAAGAAATGCAAAAGTGTCTTTGAGTTCAAAGGCTAGTTGTCTTCCTCTTCTTTCCCTTCAGTAAGAGTTTTCTACTGCTTCCCTTTTCCCTTAATTCCCACTGTCGTCTTCTCCAGTTTTGCGATGCTGAAGTGAACAAGTTCGCCACCCTCCTCGCTCATTAAACCTAGATCTAGGCCAAATCCATATCAACTGTACCTTCCTTTTCTCTGCCCAGGAGTAACGTTTTCTGCGTGTCATTTGTGTAGCGAGTGTTTTTTCTAAATCAGACAATGGTTGTGGAATAAGTCTCTGAAGTGCATGCTCTAGTGATGTGTCTTCAAACTGCGCGCAAGGAGATGTTGCACTGTCTTTGAACTCTTTCTGTGTACGTTTGGATGTTGAAGTCACGGCTGGGGTCTCAAGGGTTAGATCTCTGTGTGGGGAATTCACTGGTGATATTTCTAGTGGTGATTGATATTCTATGGATGTCTGTTCAGTACTTTCATGTGATTGTTTGTCTGCTGCAATTACATGGGTTGGTGTTTCAACAGATGGAGGCTCTGGTGGGTCTTTTGAGCAAGACGGTATTTGATGTACTTTTCTAATACAACTTTTATTTTTAAGTGTGCAAAGGGAAGCATCTACTGTTTTATTTTGATCGAAAGGTGTCCAGATGTGTGAACTTTCTTCAATACTTTTTTGTGCAGCAGCTAGGGTTGCTTCTCAAATCTTTAAGGTTTAAATGCGCTGTAGGTCTACACATTTGTTGCACAGTGTACAGGATGTGTGTCTGCACTATCCCAGTCCACGTTCACATGATAGAGAACGAGAATCGAGTACGTCATTCTTAAAATTTATACAAAAATATTTGCTCTAGTTTGCCTTCTTAACCTTTTGACTTTTGTCCTCGCACGTTCTACACAATTTTTAAAACACTCAAGGTGTAGTTTCCGCGTGCGTTCCATTTTCACTCTGGTAGCAAACTCTCGTAACACGTGTCAACACAGAATCCGCGAAAGTGAAAGCGGGACCTCGGGTGAATACAGCACGGGCAGCAGGGCGGCCAGGAAAATATTATGGGGTGAAGTAACAAAACTCACCGTCCTGCTAAAGCTTTTCAACCAATCAAAACAATTTTTTCACAAATAACCCCCTTACTGACTCTTAGTACAGCCGATAAAAAACTGGTTACAATCTGAGGTTCACGAATGGAAAAAATATCCTGGTTTTGGAGGAATCCGAAAAATACGTGCACCACAAGGTAGGGTTAAGTACAGAGGCAGTGTGTGATCACGGTTAGAACTAGAACCAAACTAAAGGGTGCGGGTTATTGGGGAGAACCTGAGCTTTCATTTGATACCTCACACACCCAGAGTGATAGATAAGACGGGACATTTACAGGGGGCTAAATCAAGTGAAAATTACAGACTTTCCAACCGAAATCGGCTAACAGCGCTATCGCCCAGGAAGCGATGCGTGGCCCGACTGTCAGGTGGGATTTATGACCCCGGGAGGTCAGCGGACGGGTCAAACTAAGTGCTCCGCAAGGATAGTAGAACTAAACAGCCGTGGGCAGTGTCGTGAACCAAAGTTTCCAACAAGAATTAATAAAAGTGGAATCTTATTTCATTCATTTCTGTTGTATTTGTTTGTGCTGACCACAGGAGGAGAGGACAGAGGCGGCAGCTTCAACATCGTGGAACGCTTCGACCCCAACAGCGAAACCTGGTCTTTTGTCAACTGTATGAAACGACGTCGGGCCGGCGCCGGGGTCACTGTGTGTGACGGCAAGATCTATGTGGCAGGTGGGTGTGTGTGTGTGTGTGGGTGGGTGTGTGTGTGTGGGTGGGTGGGTGTGTGTGTGTGTGTGTGTGTGGGGTGGG